ATGAAGGGTTGTAAGTGTGGTCAGTGCTAGCCTGTCACACTGATCTCACATGAAGGGTTGTAAGTGTGGTCAGTGCTAGCCTGTCACACTGATCTCACATGAAGGGTTGTAAGTGTGGTCAGTGCTAGCCTGTCACACTGATCTCACATGAAGGGTTGTAAGTGTGGTCAGTGCTAGCCTGTCACACTGATCTCACATGAAGGGTTGTAAGTGTGGTCAGTGCTAGCCTGTCACACTGATCTCACATGAAGGGTTGTAAGTGTGGTCAGTGCTAGCCTGTCACACTGATCTCACATGAAGGGTTGTAAGTGTGGTCAGTGCTAGCCTGTCACACTGATCTCACATGAAGGGTTGTAAGTGTGGTCAGTGCTAGCCTGTCACACTGATCTCACATGAAGGGTTGTAAGTGTGGTCAGTGCTAGCCTGTCACACTGATCTCACATGAAGGGTTGTAAGTGTGGTCAGTGCTAGCCTGTCACACTGATCTCACATGAAGGGTTGTTAAGTGTGGTCAGTGCTAGCCTGTCACACTGATCTCACATGAAGGGTTGTAAGCGTGGTCAGTGCTAGCCTGTCACACTGATCTCACATGAAGGGTTGTAAGTGTGGTCAGTGCTAGCCTGTCACACTGATCTCACATGAAGGGTTGTAAGTGTGGTCAGTGCTAGCCTGTCACACTGATCTCACATGAAGGGTTGTAAGTGTGGTCAGTGCTAGCCTGTCACACTGATCTCACATGAAGGGTTGTAAAGTGTGGTCAGTGCTAGCCTGTCACACTGATCTCACATGAAGGGTTGTAAGTGTGGTCAGTGCTAGCCTGTCACACTGATCTCACATGAAGGGTTGTGAAAGCGTGGTCAGTGCTAGCCTGTCACACTGATCTCACATGAAGGGTTGTAAGTGTGGTCAGTGCTAGCCTGTCACACTGATCTCACATGAAGGGTTGTAAGTGTGGTCAGTGCTAGCCTGTCACACTGATCTCACATGAAGGGTTGTAAGTGTGGTCAGTGCTAGCCTGTCACACTGATCTCACATGAAGGGTTGTAAGTGTGGTCAGTGCTAGCCTGTCACACTGATCTCACATGAAGGGTTGTAAGTGTGGTCAGTGCTAGCCTGTCACACTGATCTCACATGAAGGGTTGTAAGTGTGGTCAGTGCTAGCCTGTCACACTGATCTCACATGAAGGGTTGTAAGTGTGGTCAGTGCTAGCCTGTCACACTGATCTCACATGAAGGGTTGTAAGTGTGGTCAGTGCTAGCCTGTCACACTGATCTCACATGAAGGGTTGTAAAAGTGTGGTCAGTGCTAGCCTGTCACACTGATCTCACATGAAGGGTTGTAAGTGTGGTCAGTGCTAGCCTGTCACACTGATCTCACATGAAGGGTTGTAAAGTGTGGTCAGTGCTAGCCTGTCACACTGATCTCACATGAAGGGTTGTAAGTGTGGTCAGTGCTAGCCTGTCACACTGATCTCACATGAAGGGTTGTAAGTGTGGTCAGTGCTAGCCTGTCACACTGATCTCACATGAAGGGTTGTAAGTGTGGTCAGTGCTAGCCTGTCACACTGATCTCACATGAAGGGTTGTAAGTGTGGTCAGTGCTAGCCTGTCACACTGATCTCACATGAAGGGTTGTAAGTGTGGTCAGTGCTAGCCTGTCACACTGATCTCACATGAAGGGTTGTAAGTGTGGTCAGTGCTAGCCTGTCACACTGATCTCACATGAAGGGTTGTAAGTGTGGTCAGTGCTAGCCTGTCACACTGATCTCACATGAAGGGTTGTAAGTGTGGTCAGTGCTAGCCTGTCACACTGATCTCACATGAAGGGTTGTAAGTGTGGTCAGTGCTAGCCTGTCACACTGATCTCACATGAAGGGTTGTAAGTGGTCAGTGTGCCAGCCTGTCACACTGATCTCACATGAAGGGTTGTAAGTGTGGTCAGTGCTAGCCTGTCACACTGATCTCACATGAAGGGTTGTAAAGTGTGGTCAGTGCTAGCCTGTCACACTGATCTCACATGAAGGGTTGTAAGTGTGGTCAGTGCTAGCCTGTCACACTGATCTCACATGAAGGGTTGTAAGTGTGGTCAGTGCTAGCCTGTCACACTGATCTCACATGAAGGGTTGTAAGTGTGGTCAGTGCTAGCCTGTCACACTGATCTCACATGAAGGGTTGTAAGTGTGGTCAGTGCTAGCCTGTCACACTGATCTCACATGAAGGGTTGTAAGTGTGGTCAGTGCTAGCCTGTCACACTGATCTCACATGAAGGGTTGTAAGTGTGGTCAGTGCTAGCCTGTCACACTGATCTCACATGAAGGGTTGTAAGTGTGGTCAGTGCTAGCCTGTCACACTGATCTCACATGAAGGGTTGTAAGTGTGGTCAGTGCTAGCCTGTCACACTGATCTCACATGAAGGGTTGTAAGTGTGGTCAGTGCTAGCCTGTCACACTGATCTCACATGAAGGGTTGTAAGTGTGGTCAGTGCTAGCCTGTCACACTGATCTCACTTGAAGGGTTGTAAAGTGTGGTCAGTGCTAGCCTGTCACACTGATCTCACATGAAGGGTTGTAAGTGTGGTCAGTGCTAGCCTGTCACACTGATCTCACATGAAGGGTTGTAAGTGTGGTCAGTGCTAGCCTGTCACACTGATCTCACATGAAGGGTTGTAGCGTGTGGTCAGTGCTAGCCTGTCACACTGATCTCACATGAAGGGTTGTAAAGTGTGGTCAGTGCTAGCCTGTCACACTGATCTCACATGAAGGGTTGTAAGGTGTGGTCAGTGCTAGCCTGTCACACTGATCTCACATGAAGGGTTGTAAGTGTGGTCAGTGCTAGCCTGTCACACTGATCTCACATGAAGGGTTGTAAGTGTGGTCAGTGCTAGCCTGTCACACTGATCTCACATGAAGGGTTGTAAGTGTGGTCAGTGCTAGCCTGTCACACTGATCTCACATGAAGGGTTGTAAGTGTGGTCAGTGCTAGCCTGTCACACTGATCTCACATGAAGGGTTGTAAGTGTGGTCAGTGCTAGCCTGTCACACTGATCTCACATGAAGGGTTGTAAGTGTGGTCAGTGCTAGCCTGTCACACTGATCTCACATGAAGGGTTGTAAGTGTGGTCAGTGCTAGCCTGTCACACTGATCTCACATGAAGGGTTGTAAGTGTGGTCAGTGCTAGCCTGTCACACTGATCTCACTTGAAGGGTTGTAAGTGTGGTCAGTGCTAGCCTGTCACACTGATCTCACATGAAAGGTTGTAAGTGTGGTCACTGCTAGCCTGTCACACTGATCTCACTTGAAGGGTTGTAAGTGTGGTCAGTGCTAGCCTGTCACACTGATCTCACATGAAGGGTTGTAAGTGTGGTCAGTGCTAGCCTGTCACACTGATCTCACATGAAGGGTTGTAAGTGTGGTCAGTGCTAGCCTGTCACACTGATCTCACATGAAGGGTTGTAAGTGTGGTCAGTGCTAGCCCGTCACACTGATCTCACATGAAGGGTTGTAAGTGTGGTCAGTGCTAGCCTGTCACACTGATCTCACATGAAGGGTTGTAAGTGTGGTCAGTGCTAGCCTGTCACACTGATCTCACATGAAGGGTTGTAAGTGTGGTCAGTGCTAGCCTGTCACACTGATCTCACTGATGAAGGGTTGTAAAGTGTGGTCAGTGCTAGCCTGTCACACTGATCTCACATGAAGGGTTGTAAGTGTGGTCAGTGCTAGCCTGTCACACTGATCTCACTTGAAGGGTTGTAAGTGTGGTCACTGCTAGCCTGTCACACTGATCTCACATGAAGGGTTGTAAATGTGGTCAGTGCTAGCCTGTCACACTGATCTCACATGAAGGGTTGTAAGTGTGGTCAGTGCTAGCCTGTCACACTGATCTCACATGAAGGGTTGTAAGTGTGGTCAGTGCTAGCCTGTCACACTGATCTCACATGAAGGGTTGTAAGTGTGGTCAGTGCTAGCCTGTCACACTGATCTCACATGAAGGGTTGTAAGTGTGGTCAGTGCTAGCCTGTCACACTGATCTCACATGAAGGGTTGTAAGTGTGGTCACTGCTAGCCTGTCACACTGATCTCACTTGAAGGGTTGTAAGTGTGGTCAGTGCTAGCCTGTCACACTGATCTCACATGAAAGGTTGTAAGTGTGGTCACTGCTAGCCTGTCACACTGATCTCACTTGAAGGGTTGTAAGTGTGGTCAGTGCTAGCCTGTCACACTGATCTCACATGAAGGGTTGTAAGTGTGGTCAGTGCTAGCCTGTCACACTGATCTCACATGAAGGGTTGTAAGTGTGGTCAGTGCTAGCCTGTCACACTGATCTCACATGAAGGGTTGTAAGTGTGGTCACTGCTAGCCTGTCACACTGATCTCACTTGAAGGGTTGTAAGTGTGGTCAGTGCTAGCCTGTCACACTGATCTCACATGAAGGGTTGTAAGTGTGGTCAGTGCTAGCCTGTCACACTGATCTCACATGAAGGGTTGTAAGTGTGGTCACTGCTAGCCTGTCACACTGATCTCACTTGAAGGGTTGTAAGTGTGGTCAGTGCTAGCCTGTCACACTGATTTCACATGAAGGGTTGTAAGTGTGGTCACTGCTAGCCTGGCACACTCATCTCACTTGAAGGGTTGTAAGTGTGGTCAGTGCTAGCCTGTCACACTGCTCTCACATGAAGGGTTGTAAGTGTGGTCAGTGCTAGCCTGTCACACTGATCTCACATGAAGGGTTGTAAGTGTGGTCAGTGCTAGCCTGTCACACTGATCTCACATGAAGGGTTGTAAGTGTGGTCAGTGCTAGCCTGTCACACTGATCTCACATGAAGGGTTGTAAGTGTGGTCAGTGCTAGCCTGTCACACTGATCTCACATGAAGGGTTGTAAGTGTGGTCAGTGTCAGGAACTCATACAGCTTAAATAACAAGAGCTTGCAGTCACATATACATGACATTGATCTCCTGGATTCTTGTTAACTGTCCTTCATCAGCTGGTCTTCCCCCTTACCTTCCAGTGCTATAGACAGAATCTTGCAGTCTACCAGCCATTCAAGTATTCTGTCAGAGCGCATAGCAGTCTTGCTGACTTTTGTTCCACTTGAATCTTCTATGAGTTTGGTGACCTGCAAAGATGTTTTGCAGTTAGGGCTATTCGTAAGAGTTTGGAATGAAAAGTATTTGCTTAACAGTAGAAATATTATAAAACTCAATTACATTCAATTCTATACCTGAGACAAAGTATATTTCCATTTGGGTTAACAGTTGAGGTTTTTAAAAAACAACAATGTTGTACCAGGTGAGCTTAAAATACTGCTCATCCATCAAAGTCTGATACACTTAACTTGAATGTGGGTTGTGGTTGTTATCTTGGTTCTGGTTGTTTCATGTCAACTGATTACTTCATTTTACTATTGCTTCCAGCAGATCTTTAACAGTTAAAGTTACCATACAGACTTCCATTCTTTCCAACAGACCAATCTGCCATTCCTGTCTTATAGATCATGCGAATTTAGAGTTGGATAACTGGCTCACATCAGTCCAAGTGTACTTACTGGTCTGTTTTAATCACCATTGTGTGACATACCTCTTTCAGGGAGTTCATCTTGGCATTGAAGTGTGGTGACTGCAGCATGCGTAGAGCTATATCCAGACGAAGTTCATCCAGGTTGTCAACATCATGTGGCCACACACTGATGCACAATAACTTCATGGAAGACAGCAAATCAGATACACTGCCGATTCTCTGTATGAAAACAGTCCAACAGTTCACTCAGAATATTTACATGGCAATGACTTTAGTATGCAATATCAACCTTCTACTGCTTAACATGAACATATGCAGAAATATCTGTATTTCTGACACAGCTAAATGCCATAACCAGTGTCTTGTCATCCGTGTTCTACAATCAGGAAATGCAGGTTGTGGCAACCTGTATTTCCTCATATTATCCACATTGTCTGCCATGGCATTTCCAAAAAAGCTCTGCAGTCAACAAGTTCTGACCACCTCCTTATAACCAAGGTTACAGTTTTCAACAAGAACAGTTTGTGTCTCATTTTTTGGTTATCTCAATGTTTGTTTTATATAAAGAACCTGGCGACTGTGATATTTATTACAAACACACTGTAGCCCCTTTACAATTTCAATATTCATCAAGACACCTTGGATAATGAACTAATTACTGTTCATTGTGTTTAGTTATCTTCTTATCTATTCGTACCATCGTGCACTATATTTCATACCACTGTATAAAGTTTGCTTAAAGAACACTTATTCAGAATCTTAAGTAATCCTTTTTGAGAAAAGAACAAGAAATATGTGTACCTTTTCCTTAAAATCCTTTTCTTCTAGTCCCTGTATATACTTGATTGCCTTCTCCATTCCAGGTGCAAACAACTTTTGAACCACACTCTGACTGAGGAACTCTGCACACGTTCCAAATGGCTTGAGAATAGCTGCCATTGTCTGAAACAAATATACCTCACTATCATTACCTCAAGCATGTATTTGAAATATGTAACTGGTTATCTCTCACTCTCCTGAAATGCATTCAGGGCTCTCAGTCAGTGGTTACATTACAGTAACCTGACGTGATCTTGGGTGATTGGTACCTTTTATCAGGAACTATACACATGGAAACAAGAAGACAAAGTCATCAATATCCCCCACAACGGTAAAATACTCTTCGTGAATATGTCAACTAGTCATGACTATGTCAAATGTTACATTGTTCTTCACATTGAAAACACACATATGTAAACTATTCATATACTAATATGATTGTATCAACAACAGACTGCCTGATTGCTTCCACGGTTTGATGTACCTCAGTAATGTTGATACTGGAAATGGATGGTATTGTCAATTTATGTCATTAGGTTCTTGAATACACACAAAATGGAATTAGACTATTAAAAGGTTTTAAAGTTCTGTTCTCAAAAGGAGCACTACCACCAAAAGTACCATCAAAGTAAAATTTGTTGCCATGGAAATGCAAAAAAAATATTTTATTCAGAAATCCAAAACCAGCAAAAGGCACCCGCCAGACCTACTCATGTGTCAAGTTTGGTGAAGAAATATTGAACGGTTTTAGAGTTCTGCTCCAGAAAAGAGCCCTACCACCAATTTCAGTCGAAGTCAAACCTGTTGCCATGGAAACGCCAAAAGAAGATTTTATTCAGATGTCCAAAACTAACAAAAGGCACCAGTTCAGCATCAGACCTATCTATGTGCCAAGTTTGGGGAAGAAACATTGAACGGTTTTAGAGTTCTACTCCGGATTAGACGAACTTGCATGGACGGACGGACACACCGAAGGACGGACGCCCGGAGTCCAAAACAATACCCCCTGCAAAACGTGTTGTGCGGCATAAAAATTATTGGAACACCTGTGATTCTTCACCAAAATATAGCCATTTATATTCATATCATAATTATGTTCGTTTGTATATTTATTTTGACCCACACCATACACTGAATTTTGATAGGCATGTGCTCCAATCAAAGAGAAGCATCATGTGCAACATGTGTACCTGTCATTAATCAAATATCAAGTTTCAGTAAACTGTTCTCACAGCTTGATGACTTCACAGTCTAAGCATAACGTTTTCCTTTGTGTGAATATTGGTGAGCCACAAAAAACATGTAATTTTTCAAGTAAAATTGATATTTTTATACTTATCCTGACTCATGATCGTTTGCTTATCTCCCTTTTCCTTGCAAATGGTAGTGGAACACTTGAATCCCTTGAAGTTCCCAAAGTGGACGTAAAAATACCCTCACCCACGAGTTACCTCCCTTTTGCCCTTTCCTGCGCAAACAGTCATGTGACCAGCCTTACTTGTCACTCTCTCCTGATTTTCTGCCCATGCACTTGGATCTGCTGTGAAATCCAAAGTGTATTCAGCGGGGAGGTTGGGAGGGCTTCTCGTCATGAGTCAGGATAAGTATAAAAATTTCAATTTTACTTGAAAAATTACATATTTTTTCTTATCCTGACTCATGATCTTTTGCTTATAGAATCAGACGGATTGATGGTGGGTCAAGCCACTTCCTAGATTCATCAGCTGTCCTTAGATACGTCCTGTATCCCCCCCATGGGAACTGCGAAACGGCATTTCCATGATCCTATTCTTCTGACTTCCGTTATAACTCGGGGGGACCACTTTCTTGTCTTACTTCACTCTCAGACAAGTTGAATCTTCTTGATTCATGTGGCTTAAGATATACTCGTATCTTCTTTTTACTAGATATCTAATACAACCCGTAGATTATGATAAGATCTTTATCATAAATGAGTTGCAACCCCTTCACGTACAGGTAAGATCATTACCCGTACAGGATCTTTAATCACTCATGCTAGTCTGTGCGCATGGACTTTCAAACTAATACTTTTCCTTAGTAAAAGTTATCAACAAGTCAACGTGATAAAGGGTGAGATTTTCCAACTCAGTGCCCTTGCGGAACCGTTAGTCGCTGTGCTACAACGAGAGGCCCAAATTGGTGAATGCCTGAGACGTCTTCGGTGGCTATGTCTCGGAGGTAGTGGTTGGCAAACACCATGTCTGACTTCCAAAAGCAGCCCTCCATAATTGCTAATATAGAGCAATTTCCGTGCAGAGCTAGTGTTGACGCCAGAGCTCTGACTTCGTGTGGGTTGGAAACTCGAGGAGGTTCTAGTCCTGCTGCTTTATAGGCTCTCAATATGACGGCTCTCATCCAGAACGATATCGTCATTCTTGAGACTTCTGCTGATGTCTCTGTGGATAATGGATGAACAGGCACTTGAATTTTCGTCTCCTTGTCTTAAGTCTTTTGAAGATATATTTTCAGGGCTCTGACCGGACACAAGGATAGGTCCTCTATATCCTCTGGTCCAAGAATTGTAGATAGCGCTGGTACGTGGAACTGTCTATCTGGTTGACCAGGTAGTTGGTTCTTGGCAATGGAGTCCCATCTAAGTCCTAGATGAACTGCAGCATGTTACCCGTGTCGAATCTAGTTCGACAAAAGTCCAGCGCATGTATCTCTGATATTCGAGCTGCCGTGGCTAGCGCAAACAGGAACAGAGTCTTCTGTGTCAGCAACTCGAAGGTAGTCTAGTCTAGAGGTTCGTAGGCATCACTTGTAAGATGACGTAGAATTACATTCAGATCCCAGGCCGGAGCTCTGAACTTCTTTTGTTGGTCCTCCAGTTTAAAGATCTCAGCAGAGCAAGTAATTCTGGTACTTTCGTCAACTTGATGCCTGTTTTCATGGTAATCACTGTACTGATGGCAGCGAGGCATGTAGATAATGTCGAACCTTTCAGATGTCTAGTCTGTCTAAGATGACACAGGTATTACGCCACTTGAGGATGAGTAGCTTTCATCGCAATGAACTTCAGCCACTTGTCATCATACAGGTTACGAGTAGATCTGCATAACGCTGCGTTATTGCCTTGGCTGCCCTGGCGGAGTATCCTCTTTTCTTCAAACATGTTTTGATACGGTCCACACGTGTAGCTGGAACAGTGATGGGTTCCCGTGGACTTGCTTGGTGTGCGGATGTATGAGTAAGTTCAGCCAATCTGGTAACTTGATTGTTGGACTTTCGAGATCTTCTATTAGGTCTAGGAACCATACTCTCGCTGGCCAGTATGGCGTGACCAAAGTCAGTTGTAGCGCCTGCGTCTTTTTTATCTTTCGTACTTTCAGTAGTAATATCAGTGGTGGAAACGCATAAGCGTTTAGTCCTTCCCATGATATGTTCAGTGCATCTGTTGCCCAAGCTTGAGGATCTGGAACTGTAGTTGTTTGTTGAACCTCGTGGCAAACAGGTCTATGCATGGGGATCCTATTTCCCTTATGATGAAATGCTTCTGGATGGAGCATCCATTCTGTCGGTGACGGGTGCAGTGGTCGGGAGAGAGTGTCTGCAAGCACGTTCTTGGCTCTGGGTATGTGACACGCCTTTATCCAGATGAGTGCCTCCTCCGTGATGTCCAACAACTGGAATGTGAGCTGTAGTAGGCTTGGTGATCTTGTAGATCCTTGCCGATTTATGGAGAATGCCACTGAAGAGTTGTCCGTGTGGACCATCAGCATTCTGTTGATCAGCGAGCTCGACCAAGTTTTAAGGCGTTGATCACAGTTTTCATCTCCAGCAGATTGATGTGAAGATGCTGCTCTGTTTTGGACCACTTCCTTGATGCAACTTGATTGTTGAGATAGGCACCCCAACCTTGCATCGATCGTCTACGTAGGGATGTGTGTCGAAGGCCGGCTCTTGTAAATAGGTCCCTCCGCGCAGACATTCGACCTGTGGGTCCACCAAAGTAGGTGCCTCTTAAGATTGTCTGGCAGCAAGATAGGGTCGACACTGTCCAGATGTTTTGTCAAAACCGTTGCAGCGGACTTAGTTGTAACCTTCCTAGTGCGAGTCAAGTCCTGCGCCGAGGTTAGTAGACCGAGTACACATTGCCATGATCGTAGTGTTAACGGAGAGATGACTGCTTGTGGAATTATGGCTTGTATCTTGACCCAATGATCTTCTGGGATCACAATTCGATTCTGTGTTGTGATAATTCTTATTCCCAACAATTGAAGATCTTCTTTGATTCCAACTCCAACTTCATCAGGTTCACTAGCCATCCTAGTTGTGTGAGCAACTTAATTGTGAAGTTCAGCTGCTGTCTGAGTTGATTGGCACTTTGAAGAACCTGTATGCTGTCGTCCAGATAACCGGCACTGCGGAGACCTAGATGCTGCAGATAGGTGCCGATAGGCTTGGTTATTCGTATGAATAATCATAGAGCCGAAGATATTCCAAATGGTAGGACGTTTCATTGGAAGTGCTAACCTCTGATTGCAGGAATGATACATCATTCTTCCCCTTATATACGCAGGCAATCTGTGTTGATCAGCAGACATCGAAGCGTTGTTTATTTATAGCAAGGCTGGCTCCAGTGTAGCATCGCAGGGGACAGGTACTCATACCAACTTTTTATCAGCGACAGCTTCCAAAATAAACATAGTTTATGCTGCTGTCAAGGCTAGACATCTATTAGATTCCCATGATGATAACAGGCCATAGTTGTATGCTGTTTCCAAGGCTGCGAATGAAGTATTCCCCCCATACCACGGGTTTGTTTACAAATCAGTAAACTTGCTTGTGCCTGCTCTGTCAGTGGGAGGCGTTGTCTGACGTGGACCAATCAGCTTCAAGCATGACGTCACCGGTGTTGTAGCAATTTGGCCTCGATAAAATCTGGTGCAATTAGTTGGTTGAGTAAAAGTGTGCGTAATTCTACGCCGCTCATATAAACCTCTTGAATAAGGGTTGCTACAAGTGTAAAAAAATCTTGTTCAGTGATATAAATCACGTATTCCCATTGTGGATAATATAAACCAGCATGACGAAGGAGGCTGTCGAGACATATGTCTGTATGGATCTTGAAGAAATACCGATGTTGAATCTATTTGATAGGATATAAAATCCTAATCCCCATGCTGAGTGACGAGTGTTAATAATATCATCTGTACGTCCGTTCCAAGGATTCTTGAATGCGTTGTTAACCTTAAGCCCTTTACAAAGGTCGCCTTGAGGTTCTCCAGTACTTGAGATATTGGCTTCATAGATGACATCATATTGGAGTCGAAGTCATCAGCGTATATGCAGTACGTCTCTGTTGGGTTGGAGTGAGTGAGTGAACTACAATATCCGCAGGCCATTTGTTACCCGGTATAAGACCTCAGCATCCGTATAGATGAAGGGATTCCTTTCATCAAGTAGGTTCTCGTCTGAAACTGAACCTATACATGTATAAGGTTTGTGCAGGTTGTAGAGTTGTGCAGGCTGTAAACTGAAGAGATCGCATATGTTGTAGATCTTTTTGTTGAGTCGAGTCAACATCCTGCCGGTTGATGTTAAGGGTTTGTTAACCCTAGGGTTCACGAACCCTGTAGATGTCTGCGTTGCTGTTATCTGCCTGTAGATCTGAGAGTTCTCGAACCTTGTAGATGTCTGCAGCTTTCTCAAAGCTGTGCGTAGGTAAGAAGGTACCTTGGATATAGGTTCAGTCAGAGGAATAGTCACCGGGTCAAAGTCGTCATTACACATCTTATAAGTGTAGACTTCTTCTATATCCTTAGAAGGAGACTCCAAGTTCAAACCATTGGCTATCCAAGCTGTAACCTCTGAGTCCGGGAAGACGAAGTCTGGATATTCATCAGTTATCTCCTGATCGGTAGAGCCATGCCTCTGCGAATCATCCTCTGCGAACCTGTATCCCTTCTCGAACCTCCATCATCCTTTCGCGAACTGGAGATTCCTCCCTTCGCGAACGTCTATCTTGAGAGTCCTCTCTTCGCCAACATCTATCTGTGGATTCATCTCTTCGCGAACCTCTGTGATATGAGCCTACTCTTCACGAACCTCTGTCGCTAGATGTATCCCTTCACGAACCTCTGTGATTTGAGCCTTCTCTTCGCGAACCTCTGTCTCGTGATGAGTGACTTCGCGAACGTCTGTGAGAGATATGAGATCTCGATCTAGAACGGCTAGGTGTAGGAGATGGATCCTTCGATGTTCTCGAACGTTGAGGGTTCGCAGATGTAGAACGTTGAGTACGCATCTCATGTCTCCTATCTTCCTCCAAGATGACATAGTCGTCCGACTGTGGAGACCTTCGCAAAGGTGTACGTTCGCCAACGTAGTCTTGAGACGTAGTTCTCTGAGGAGTAGGTTTGCACAAGTCCGTGGGTTCGCACAGGTCTGTAGGTTTGCGCACGATGTCAGTTTACGAGAATCTTCGCCGAGCCTTCGCTTCTTCCTCGAACCTACGTTCCATCATGGCCATCATCTGGTTGGTGAATTGTCTCATAATTTCACCCGGATCAAGTTCTGCGTTGATTGAAGCTGCTGCGGTGTAGAAGAAGTGTAGTAGTTCGTCAAACAGCTAGCCTGCTGTGACCGTTGCAGGAAACGATCTAGTAGTCATGGAAGTCGATTGAGTCGCCGATCTCGTAGATACTTCGGGTAGAAGTAACGGGGGAGCATAAAAAAACGTCTACTTCATGTGGAGGTAATATCTCTTCGTTGAGGATTTCTGATGCGTTGACTTACTAGGCCGCGAAGATTTACCCTCCGATCTGGTAACAGATGCTTTCTTCTGCGACGTAGAAGTAGATGATGTCTTTTTCTTAGCTTAAGTCGGAATCAACTGCATTGTAGCCGATCTATTCTTGGCCCCCGTACCAGCAGACTGCCCCTGCAACGTACTCAACATAGCACCAGTATTATGAATTTCAGCAGTAGCAAGCAACATGCGGTTTGCAGGCCGATCTCCTGTTTTATCAGCCGTGACTTGAGATGACTTCCTCACCCAATCCATGGCACGTCTATAGATATAAGACAAATTTTGATTAAATTGTAGATTTGATAAATCAACACAATAAGTACAGCGCAAGCTGGAAGAACATGGTTTTATGCACAAAGGGCAATGGGGGTGAGGATCAGCCACGGATAACCTGTGCCTGCAAACACTGCAAGATTTCATGAAATGTAAACAAAGTTACATAACGATGAAATTATGACACAAATACAAATAATTTTTACAATTTATTTTACATATAATATATAGTAGTTATTGCCAAATCCATACACAGCATAATTTTGAAGAATAGGACCTAAATAAAAAGGACATAATGCCGTATATGGGACTCCAGTGCTCGCCCAACCATCCACTTATGCGAAAAGGGAGAGAGTGACAAGTAAGGCTGGTCACATGACTGTTTGCGCAGGAAAGGGCAAAAGGCAGGTAACTCGTGGGTGAGGGTATTTTTACGTCCGCTGCGGGAACTTCAAGGGATTCAAGTGTTCTACTACCATTTGCAAGGAAAAGGGAGATAAGCAAAAGATCATGAGTCGGGATAAGAAAAAATATATGGTATTAATGTGGTACTTTAAAAGTCTATGGTGATTAAATTGTTTATGTTTGTATGTTTACAAATATTCTGTCACACTTTCTCGAAAGCACTTTGTACTGTTCTTCAATGAGGTTCTTTTAATTTTCAATATTTTAAGGACAAGATGAATATATAATAACAACATATTAGAATATGTTATTTCTGGAAAGTTAATCATGAACCAATATCTCATGGTTGAGAAAATGTGAGCGCACCTGATACCTATTCTCAGCTTTAAAGAGACTGAACCAGATTAATCTTCCAAGATATTTTTTATGGATTAAACTTCTTTTTTAATTTCTCTCACAACGTTTGAGACCATTCCAGGTCCCTTCATCACCTGATGAATGAAGGGACCTGGAATGGTCTCAAACGCTGAGAGAAATTAAAAAAGAAGTTTAATCCATAAAAAATATCTTGGACATCAATGTACAACTTCTAAATGCCACTGAAAGACATCAGATTAATCTTAATTTGCACACATAAGCAATGACAAGCACACAATGAATACAATAGTTTTACTTGTCATTGACCAAGTATTTTATCTCCTTTTTTCAGCTAAAGAGATTGAGTTGATTTGGATGGAGATGCTGACCACCTCCTCCCCACCACCATGACATGAACAAGTTTTAACACCACATCTACGGCCAACTTTACTATCCCATCCACCTACCGGAGCATCAAGGTCATCTCTTTCCAGGCTTTTTTTAATGAGATCCAGCCCACCTAAGTTAGCAAACTGAAATATGAAAAAAAAGTGTTACATTATTTAGTGTTACATTATTAGCATGGAAATGGAAGCAGTTAGCATTAACCATGTCCAGGCATAATATTTGATGCGTATACCAGTATATTGCTATGGAAACATTATTTAAGTGACTACCGAGACAAATCAGTCATCTTCAGGTTTGGTCATCATGTTTGATTAACTGTTGTACTCATTTGAAAATCAAAGACTATCAAAGGCTAGGATAACATACCACAGGATATCATTGACCTTTAAGAGTAAGCTTAGTTATATTACCTTATTGATCAGGTGAGTCAACCATCCATAAGGATCCTGTAAGAGAACAAGAGGTTCTGGTGTTTGCTCATGGTATACATGTTGGAGGTCATTAGGCTATAAGCATTAGAACTGTTTACATACATAGATATACTGTACATAATATAGATGTCAAACATCGAAAGACAAGTCAAAAGTCAAAACATATGTTTATTTTCTTCATGACACAGCCTTTTGAAGTTATTTATAATAATTAATCAGATTTAAAAAAATGTAATTCTTTGGATAAAATTGAAATATTATACTTATTCTCATACGTTATTGTTTTATCTCCCTTTCTTCCGAGGTACAGTGGAAACCTCTGTCCGATTGTTCCCAATGAACAGTCAAAAATAGCTCACCCCAAATGGGCCTCTCCCTGCCTCAGCGCTGCTTGTCACTCTCTCCATTTGCGAGGCCAAAGGGTATTTTTGACATGAGCCAAACAGTGGGGACAGTTGGGAGAGCCCTTAGACTATAAGTCAGGATAAGTATAAAATATCAAATTTATTTTAAAAATTACATATGTTTCCTTATCCTGACTCATACGTTATTGCTTGAATCCACGGATAGGTGGTGGGTCAGCCATCTATTTGGATTACAATAAACTGTTCAATCCACCCCTCTGGGAACTTTTCAATCTTCATATACTGCAGCCAAAAGTGGGGGACCACCTTCCTTTAAATTCTAGATTCGCAAGGAATTAGATTCCTTTATCTTGGGTTGATCCATATGTTAAGAATAGAGCATAACTTAACTGAATTGTATCACCCTTGTGCTGCTTTATCTTGTAAAACAAGGGGAACATGGACTCTCTGTCGGTAGTTATGGAACAGTAACCTGACATTAATTAATTAATGTTAAAATTTGTATAGCGCCTGAATCCAAGGTTTGCTCTCAGGCGCTTGGTCGAATGCTCTGTGGAAAAGAACTGTTTTTAGTTCTTTTTTGAATGGAATTATGTCTGACAAGTTTTTCAAGTTTTCAGGTAGTTGGTTCCATAACAGAGGACCTGCTTTGGCGAAAGCTCTATCGCCATAACTCGCTCTGCGGGTAGAGGGCACTACTGCTTGTTTTAAAGAGGCTGATCTCAGGGTTCGTGATGGCTGATACCATGACACTAGTTCAGTCAGGTATTCTGGAGCTTGGTTGTGAAGGGCCTTGTGCACAAACACTAACACCTTGAAGACAATTCTTTGTCTGATTGGCAGCCAATGCAGTGTACGTAATGTTGGCGTTATGTGTTCATATTTGCCTGCACCAGTGATGAGTCTTGCTGCTGCATTTTGTACTCTGGTGAGTTTGTTGAGAGTTTGCTCCGATACGCCAAACATCAGGGAGTTGCAATAGTCCAATCGTGAGATAACCAGTGCTTGGACTAATGACTGGATTGCTGATCTGTCAATGAAGTGCTTGATTTGGCTGATGTTTCTCAGATGGAAAAAGGCGGATTTACAGACAGTGTCTGCATGCCGATCCATACTCAGGGAGGAGTCAAAGATAACTCCGAGGTTTCGAGCTTGATCACTTGGTGATATTGTGTTGTCTCCTATCTTTAAGGTTGGGAAATCCATTTTCCCTGATAGAGACCTTGGCCTCAGGATCAAAAGTTCTGTCTTGTCATTGTTCAACTTCAGATAGTTGGTAGACATCCAACATCTTATGTCGTCGATAGCTTTACTCATTAATGCAAATGCCGACTCAGCAGATGATATTTGCAGAGGCTTGAAGCCTAGGTACAACTGTGTGTCGTCTGCATAAAGGTGAAACGATAGGTTATGCCGTCTTGCAATGTCCCCTACAGGCAGTGTATATACAGTAAACAAGACAGGTCCCAGGACCGAGCCTTGTGGAACTCCGTATCTAAGTTTATGCCTTTGTGATTTACATCCATCTATTGTCACTGACTGGTAGCGGCCAGAAAGAAAGGATTCAAACCAGTCCAAAGCTGTGCTGATGATTCCAATCCTTGATTCCAGTAACAGAAGCAGTATGGAATGATCAATAGTGTCAAAAGCAGCAGATTGATCTAATAAAACCAGTATTGCAGCACCCTGTGAATCCACAACATTTAGTAAGTCATTCTGAACTCGTAAAAGCGCCGATTCAGTGCTATGTCTGCGCTTGTAGGCAGATTGCATTGCTTCACCCAAGTTGTTGTGTTCCATGTGATCGCTGAGCCTTGATGCGACAACTCTTTCAATGACCTTGGACAAGAATGGCAGATTGGATACTGGGCGGTAATGTTTTAGATTGTCTGGATCCAAGTTTGGCTTTTTCAGTAAAGGAGTGATGAGAGCGTGCTTCAATTCCGAAGGAAAGACACCCATTGACAGAGACTGATTCACAATCCGGGGTAATAACTGGCACTACCTGAGCCATGCAGGTTTTCAGCAGCCAAGTGGGGAATGGGTCCAAGGAACAGGATTTTGTGGGCGACTTAAGAAAAACTTTGGATATTTCATCCTCACTAGTTAGGTTAAATGTTGTGAGAGGTTGTATCACAATCTGAGATTCATTGGCGCTGGAACCACTGTGAAGGGCATGTTTAACAGCAATTTCAAGTGAAGATCTGATGGTGATAATTTTATCATTAAAATATGCATTGAAACTCTCCGCCAGTTTTGCAGGTGAATCGTGTGAAGGCAGATGATTCTTCTTCTTCTTGAAAAGCAAGGTGTTGCAGACCCTGTACATGTCCTTCTGCGATTTTGCTTCACCGATGGCTTGTTTGGAATGAGATGTCTTTGCTTCACTTATGAGTTTATTTACGCAGTCACGTTGATGTGAATGCAACTGCCGATGTATTGTCAGACCAGTCTTTCTCATTTGCCTCTCGAGCTTGCGGCGATGTTTTTTAGCATCCCGAATCTCGTCAGAATACCAGGCAGTCTGATGTCGTACTGTCACAGTAACAATCTTAGACTGGGCATGTTTCTCAAGAACATCACCGAGTTGTGTGTTAAATAGGTTCACACTGTCAGAGATGTCAGCTGTGCAAGCATCAATGGTTGAAAATGCAGATTCAATATCCTGACGGAATGCCTGCATATCAATGTCCCTCCACTTTCTACACTTCACATTCATTTTGTTTTTTTCTGGTTTGGGAATATTCAGGGAGAATAGTATACCGAAATGATCAGAGGATACAGAGTGATCATACACAAACTTGTTCAGATGTAACTCATCCGACCTTGTAATGACTAAGTCCAGCATGTGACCATTTCTGTGAGTTGGAAACAGAAGGTGCTGAAGAAAGTTCTTTGATTGTAACACTGATTCAAACAGATAAGCATTTTTGTGATTTTTGTCATTGAGATGTATATTGAAGTCACCACAGATTAATAGTTTACCACTTGAGTGATTCAAAGAGTCTGATAAATCTTCAAACTCACACAAGAAAATGTCAATTTGCTTTGATGTAGGTGGTCTATACACCACCTCAAGATGCACTTGCTGATTGCACACATTCAGAGCAAGAGGGAGTAATTCGAAGGATGTAGGCTGCACAAGGTTAACTTGCTTGCAGTCTATTGTTTCCACAGTATAACTCCACATCCGCCGCCACGCTTGTTGTGTCTGCACTTGTGAACAAGCTTGTAACCGGCTGGGACGATTTTGTTTTTTGCAATATGATCAACATCCCCATCACGAAACCAGGTTTCTGTGAGCGCTTGGATGTCCAAGTTATTGTCATTAATCAGATCGCAAATCTGTTGAGCTTTATCACAATGTTCATTTCTCGCTTTAGCAGATCGGGCATTGAGTAGGCCGAACCTTAGAGGCTGAGAATTTTCTGATATTTGCTGATAGAGGGGAAAATTCAACTTCTGTTTTCTTCCTCTTGAACCCCGTTTTGTCCACCTTGCACTACATATCCCGTTACTTCTGAGATCCCTGTACACTTCCAGGGGAATTTTGTAAACGTTTGTGTTGTCTATTGCTTTACACTCCTCAGCTGAGTATGTAAGCAGAGTCATGATTGACCAACACAGTGACAAGCCAATCTGCATTGTCTCACACAAGCGCCCACTCAGCACATACAGCTTGCTGTCTGAGTACAGTCATTCAAGGTTATGTAATTAAACAATGGACAGGGAAGAAGGGGTGGCCCAACATCTACGAGTCTACGTGATTATCAGTGAGTAATTATCTCCTGGCTGGAACTGTCAACTGTTGCACCACAACCAAAGGACTGAACTGGTGTATTCCAGGAACATACTCAGTAGCAATGTCACTGAGATAGTGGTTGGCAAAGACAGTGTCTGCCAAAGACAGTGTCCAATCTCCAGAAACATCCTTCTACGATCGATGAGATGGAGCAGTTGTCGTGTGGAGCTAGTGTGGACGCTATGGCTCTGACTTCATGAGGATTGGGGGCTCTAGGAGGATCCAGTCCTGCAGCCTTGTAGGCTCTCAGTATCACTGCTCTCAGCCAGGAGATAGTTGTTCTAGATACTTCGGTAGATGCAACAGTGATAATGAGATGAACAGTCTCCTGTACTTCCTTCTTCTCACCGCAGTTCTCTTCAGATATATTCTATGTCTGGAAGCTCTCAGATGACATACATATCCCGCCACTTGAGGATGAGTAGCCTTGGTCGCTGAGAATCCCTTCCGTGCCACAAGCTGGCTTGTCTTATCAGGTCAGACTACCACGTTCTTGACGGCCAGTAGGACGCTACCAAAATCAGTCTCAGGTTCTTCGTCTGGGCGATCTTCCTTAAGGTCCTCAGAAGAAGTACAGGTGGCGGGAACGCATAGGCGTGAAGACCTTCCCATGACATTGCTAGGGAGTCAAGAGTCCAGGCTAATTGATCTGCAACCGGTGAGACGAAGGTCATTATCTATTGCGGGCAGCCCTGGTTCCGCCAGTAGGAACGCTTCTATGTAACATCCATTCTGTTGAGGACGGTTTCTTTGGTCTGCACAACACATGTGCTAGGACGTTGGTGTGCCTTGCCTTTATTCTAGGTTAAGACTGTCCGCCAACTCATAGAGTTGAAACAACAGCTCTA